CCTGCCGCTGCCCACCGCCTCCCGCGGCCGCCCCGCCACAAGCCCGGGGCCTGATGAATTACGACGTGCTTAATTAGAGCGCTACGCTGGGATTTTAAAACGTGCTGGCTATCCATTAAAAAAAAAAAGTCTTATTTTATCTTAGGCTAGACATATTCAGAAATATACTTTTCTTTGTTGTTTGCTCTTTTATGAAGTCATTTATACAAGTGGAAAATTAACATAAGTCATTAATATATTTTTATGAAATGAGGAAATATCCTGGGAAGAAGGGATGCTGAAAAGGTTTGGGGAAGCAGAGTGGATAGTTAGCAATCAGCCACTCCTAGCGAGCCACTGCAGCCAGAGGAGCTAGCGCAGCTCTCAGCTGTGATAACCAGGCACGGAGCTGGAGGGAAGAGCTGTTGCCTCTGCTCCACAGCGGGAACCCTCTGCCCACATCTGGTGCCCACAGCTCCAGGATGCTGAAAAAAGGGAGAGGGGTAATAGGAGAGCCATGAGAATGAACAAAACACGCTGTGCTTTGAAAGAAATCAAAACTGCTTCATCTGTTCCTCAAAGAAAAGGATACGGCGTGACTTGATCACAGCTACAGAAAACTTCCTGGTAGAAATTTGATGCAAGAATGCTCTTCAGTTTAGCCAACACAAGTATAACAAGCTCTAAGGGCTAGAAGTAGAAGCTGAGCAGGTCAGTCTAGAAATAAGATGCATTTTTAATCATGAGGGTAGAGATGCTGCACCAGCGCCCAAAAAAAGCAGGAATGGATTTTTTAACGTCTGTTCCTTTTCAACATTATATATAACAGGTTCTCAGTGGAAACTTTGCATATAGCAGCTGCTCCTGGCATGGCTTGCTTTCCTCTGCAGACAAAACACAATGTGTCTCAACTCTAGTGCTTCCACACACAGCAAAGACGACAAGGATGGGGCCACTTGTGAACCCCATGTTTTAATGTGTTTGTGACAAAAATCAAAATTGGTCATTATCAACTATACTGAGCAGAGTGAATCAATCCTATTGACTGTAATTATTCTGGGCTTTAAATCATGTCACTAACTTTGGAGCTGTGGACAAGTGTGTAAGCACAGGCAGAGGTTTTAGAGTGGGTAATAGCTTCCTATACAAACAAGCTTCCCATACAAACATGCCTAGGGATGAACCTAAAGCCTGGCTTTGACAGGAAACTATTCCCACGTTTCCTTGTGGATAGCTTTACCAATACACTCAAATCTTGATTGAATATTAACGCTTCTCACTGAACTCTTACTGTGCCTCAGTTTCACTTAAGAATATTGCACTGTTCTATTACCATGCTTCCTATGAGTAGACTGCCAGTGGTGCTGAGTTACGTTGCTATGGGATGATCCCGTTCCCCTTTATACTCTTTACTTACTAGGACACTTGCTTTAATAGGAAATTTCCCCAGGAGAGCTTTTGTTAATCCCAGCCAGTTCTGCACATTAATTTCTCCATGCATTAACTTCAGGACATTGCTGTGGCTTGCACCAAAATAGTAAGCTACATACTAGTAATTTTACAAGACAAGGTGGGAGTAACATTCATAATTTAGTAATATTCACATCAGAGTTCAAACAATGTAACAATATGAACACTAGCAATAGCACAACCACTTGCCACTCTCTGCTTTCAATGTATCACCTTCACCTTTTTTCTGTAATGTCTTTAGAAGGGAGGTTTACCTTGCAGGTACAATTCTTCGTCCCTGTGTTCATCATGCTATTGCCCCTACTACTAAGAGGCTGTGGTCTGCTGCCAGTAATTTCAAGCACAACATCTGCTAGATGTATTCTGAGCACAGTAAGGTGATGCTTTGAAAGAACAGCAGCAGCTCACAACATAGAAGATTTCTGGCCCCATGAGCTGAACCAACATTAGAAGCTATGGGGAAGGTTTATGTTTTTACAGTATATCGCTGTACGCTCAGAAAAGTCATTGCAGGATTTAAGTTGGAGCAGCTCCTGGGGGCTGTTCTAACCTGAGTTGGCAACTGAACAAGCAGCCCCAGGACTACCTTGGCTCCGTTACAGTTCAGCACCAGCACTCCTTTTGCCCCACATTCTCTGTCTTTCCTATGTGCAACATGGCAACCAATGACAAAAGGACTAAAATAAATGGCACTGAAGATACTACTGAAAGTAGGGCACAATATCTTTCATATTGACCTGTTAGTGTTAAGTTATCTACAACTCTTCTTAAAAGCTAATTATTTTGCACATTTAAATTAGGGTAATTGGATCA